CTCTGTGTGTTTTAAAACAGTTCTAGAATAGTAATGTGGGATTTTCCAGAGCTCATAGGGCATCAGGTTCTACTCTCAAGAGATACAAAATGAGTGTTTTCTGGGTCTGAGGGCAATAGCTGGTATAGATAGGTTATTAATAGTAGAGAAAATGTGGGACCTGCTATGGTGGTTAGAGATAGGGATAGGCCCTACCTACTGGGTGGGGGAGGCCTTAAGAGGCCTGGTTCAGGGCCTGCACTAGGCCTTCCCACTCAAGGCACCCCATGCTCCACTTAACAACCTGTGCATACATTTAACCATCACATTGGGAGAATAGGGGTGGGGGTTGTTAAGTGACATGCTTTACTTAATGTCTGTCATGACTTCCGACTGTAATAGGCTGGCTCCATTATGGTCATAAATCAAAGACTACTTGTACTCAATACCGTGTAGTCAAGTCACTGAGAATATGGCATTCCTCACTTGAAATCCCAGCAAGCCTTTGATCTCTATTAATCCTCTCCTTCTCTCTTAGTGGGTAGAAAGCGGTTACTCCATGCAATGGTGCTATGAGAATTTCATCCAGTTTCGTTCTATGAGGCGGGCTCGAGATGTGCGAGAACAGCTGGAAGGGTTGATGGAACGCATTGAGGTGGATATTACTTCCACTGAAGGGGATTACATTCCTATCCGCAAGGTAAAAGCACTGTGCACCTGTTATTTTCTTTTGCTTTGGGTTTCCAAAATTCCTTTAGACAAGCGTATATGTATTTGGCATATCCACCTAATTTAGAAACCATAACAATCACATTGTCAATCCTGAAGTGAACCTGGCTGGGCCCATCTTTGAGGCTTCAGGGCTGCCACTAGATTGGAGGGGGTGGGAAATAGCTGGGGTGTTGTAGTCAAAATAAGAAGTTTTCCTGTGAGAACCAAGGTCATTCCAACAGGTGGCTGGGAGAGGAGGAGCAAAGTAACCAAGCAACTGGCCAGCACCTCGATTGCACCATGTGATTGGTGACTTGGGGAAGCAGGGAAACTTTTTCTTTTAATTAGGTGAAAACCGTGGGAACTTTCAGAGTCGGTTTTCCCCAGTTGTGCCAATATCTAATAAAATTGTCCTTTGAGGGATCCACCTGCCTTGGAGTTCTGCTTTCTATGGGTGCATAACTTGGAACGCTTACACACACATTTTTTAAAAAGAGCCGTTGATTTCTAAATTTGCAGAAGATACTTTTCAATGTTTGTTTATTAATATATTTTAACTCTGTTTTTCATCAATTATTTAATCTACAGTTAAAATATCTTATTTTGTGTTATTTAAATTACAATAAAATGAGTTATATTCAGATACCATTTCTTTCATTGTCTACCTCACATTTGGCCCTTCCTGCTCTGTTTCTATAGGCTGTAACAGCCGGTTTCTTTTATCACACTGCCCGGCTAACCCGCAGTGGTTACAAAACGGTCAAGCATCAGCAGACAGTGTATATCCATCCCAACAGCTCCTTGTTTGAAGAGCAGCCCCGCTGGATCATTTATCATGAACTGGTTTTCACCACTAAGGAATTCATGAGACAGGTGAGTTAAAACCTTCTGAAGAAAAAGTTTCTCCTCAGAGACAAAATGTTATCTATGCTCAAAGGAAAACCGATATGTGAATATAGCAGGTGCTTTAGGTCAAATAAAAATGTTGCCTTTAAGCGTTAGAAAATATCCATTTTTGAGAATTGAAATAGAGGAAGAGCTGAATACTTTGCTTGTGAATTTGTAGCGTTTTATTGTAGGTTTCCTACTGAAGTGTCAAACAAGAGGTTTGTGTAATATGGAATCAATTCTGGCCTAACTCAATATTTTATATACAAGTCACTTCATGTTGCTGTTGCTGCAACGGTAAAGACAGAGGTGACTTCTCATTAGTGGATTAAATGATTAAAAGAGCTGGAGGATTCAATAATCGGGTATTAGTGGGACTTTTGTGGAAGAGCAGTTCTGGATTCCTTTTACAGCCAGTTCAGTTACCCTTAATCTTACATCCGACGCCTCACACTGGATCACCTTTCCATGGCCTTTTGACCTAGCTAATATGCAGGTCAAACTGGCTACGGAACCAGCTTCGCCCCATCCACATCAGCCCATCCTGCTCATTCAAACAGGGAAGGTATGCTAAAACCCTATCAGTCAAAGAATGTAAACTGGCAGAGCTAAGAAGAGGGCTTTCTCTGCCGCTGCCCCTGCATTGTGGAACACCCTGCCCTCAGATGTGAGGAAATGCCCCAATCATTTCACTTTCCACAAAGGGGTCAAAACTTGGCTGTGTAGCCTTAAGTGGGGAACACAAAGGCCCACACAACTATGGAGCTGACCGGCCCTATGAGAACTCCCCCCCACCCCTCACTTGTATTAACAACTACTAACTCCCCATCTTTGAGTTTTTCACCTTTGGAAACTTTTATAATGTTGCTTTTATAATTATAAAAAAAATAATTCCAAATTATTCTGATTTTAATGTTTAATTTTATTGATACTCCGCACCGCTCAGAGCCCTTTTTTGAGGGAAATGGGCAGTTAAGAAATATGAAATGTTTATCATTCATCCACCCACCATTCTCATCTACTGTATGTCTATATCTATCTGTCCATCCATCTCTATCATCCCTCTCATCTCTCTCCTATCTCTCTCCCTCCCTCTCTCTCTTTATCTATCCTAATCTAATCTAATTTAATCTAATTAATCTAAATTTATCTAACCGTCTATCTAAATATGTCTGTGTATCCAAGAGACAGTGCTGAAATCAGAAGCCTGGCTCGAGCTGCTTTTGTGTTTTCTGTAGGTGATTGAAATTGACAGTTCCTGGCTGCTGGAAGTGGCCCCTCACTACTACAAGGCCAAAGAACTGGAAGATGCCTCAACCAAGAAACTCCCCAAGAAATTGGGCAAGACACGAGAAGAGCTGGGATAAAAGAAAAACTTGTCTTCAGTCCTGACCATTCTGGTGCTGAATAGCACCTTTGGACACTTTTTTGTAGAGCTGTATAGTTTTGCTGTTACTCAGAGGCATAAAATAAACCCTTTTTTAAAATAAGCTCCCTTGTGTTATTTGCTTGCATTTTCCTTCTAGACAAATTTAATGTTTGTTTTAGCAAATCAATTTCTTCTTTAAAAAGACGCATACAAGAATGCATACAAACAGAATTCAGTGTTCAAATCATCTTCAACATTTAAAGACAACATTATACCATTATTGTCTTTGTATCCTGCCTTTTTGTGGGATGTAAAGGCGGCATCCATGGAATTTTCTCTCATTTTATCCTTATTAATTGTAATTTTTGGACGTAATTATTACCATAAAGACCTGTAAGTTCAATGGCTGAATAGGCCCTTGAATCTCATTCTCCTATTTGGGGCACTTTGAATCTAGCATCAAGCTAAGACTTTTAATTCCACTAAAATAAGCAATTGATTTGATTTTTCTCTATTTTGTTGGATGAGGGGGTAATAAGCAATAACCAGTTATGCATGACATTGAGAAGCTGCATTCCCACACCTGCTAGAAATCTTAATAAATCTCAGTAGCATATCATATACTTTTCCATAATTCAATACCAGCAAGCAGAAAATCTTTGTAGTATGTAGTGTGTTTGATTCCATGCACCTCTCACAAAGCCCAAATTTGTGTGTTCAAAGATGCAAATACAACACACAGAAGAGCACATAGATATGTGTTATAGGTAGCATATTCTGAAAAAAATGGAAATTTTGTGAGAATATGCTATCTGCAATACATATCACAAGTTCAGACTGAAGGAAATTTTCCATTCCAGACAGATATGATTAGAGGGTATTATGCAACAAACCAAAATAAGCTCTGTTCTTCTGTTCTCCCCCCGCCAGGCTTTAAACACACGAATGTGACAGTCTCGTTCCTGTTGAAAAGTGAGCCTTGGGTTTATATTAAATATTAGATTTATAACACAGCAAAACTAACATGTTGGTAGCTTTCTCAAGGAATTGTACAATTTTGAATATAAAATGATCAGAATGTTGTAATGTTGAAAACAAAGCTGTCGGTAGTCCTCAACGTATGACGATAATTGTGCCTGAAACGTCTGTTGCTAAGCGAAGCAATTGTCAAAAGAGAATTGCAGCTCATTTTACGATCTATTTTGCTGCAGCTGTCTACATGAATCATGTGGTAATTCACCAAATCGCCTTTCACTCTGCTTGTCAGAGACTGGCAGGGAAGGTTAAAAGTGAGGACCATGGGACAGTGCAGCTGTCACAAACACATCAGTTGCCAAGTGTCAAATTTTGAGCATCGGACCATGGAGATGCTGGAACATTTGTTCAGCATGAAAACTTTTCTTTTAGTGCTGTTTTAACTTGGAAGGGTCTCTAAATGAATGGTCGTAAGTCAAAGACTACCTGTATATTTAACAGAGCAACACAACATTCTGGTTTGAAGTACAGCAACATGGTCAACACCTTACCAGTAGAACCGAAGCATGGGAGAGGTTAGTAAAATACAGGTAGTCCTCGACTTACAACCACAATTCAACCCAAAATTTCTATTGCTAAGTGAGACATTGGTTAAGTAAATTTTGCCCCATTTTACGACCTACCATGCTGCAGTTAAGTGAATCACTGCAGTTGTTAAGGTCATAACACAGATGTTAAGCAAACCTGGCCTCCCCATTGACTTTGCTTGTCAGAAAGCCACAAAGGGGAATCACATAACCCCATGACACTGCAACCGTCATAAATGAGTCATTTACAAAGCCTCTGAATTTTGATCACATGACCACAGGGATGCTGCAGTGAAAAGTGTGAAAAATGGTTCTAAGTCACTTTTTTCAGTGCCATTGTAATTTGAACGGTCACTAAACAAACTCTTGTTAAGTCTGGGACAACCTGTACATCCTTTGTAGCTCTACTTCACCGCCCATCCATACATGTGCCTCAGAGTCTAGGAAGAAGGCGATGGCAAACCTATTCTGAAAAATCTGGCTAAAAAACTAGTCAAGCCTGACTCAAAGGCAATAAGTTTTACATGGAGTTCAAACTTCAGAATTAAAGATTCTGGTGGAATAATGGGTTTTCTACTTTTTTCGAGTTCTAAGATCAGAGCTGCGAATAGCCATGCAACTATTGGATAAAGCAGCAAGACACACAAAACTTTGCTGTGCACAATAGCAGTCATCTGGATTTTTGCAGTTTAAATAGAATAGAATAGAATAGAACAGAATTGGAAGGGACCTTGGAGGTGTTCTAGTCCAACTCCCTGCTTAGGCAGGAAACCCTACACTACTTCAGACAAATGGTTATCCAACATCTTCAAAACTTCCAGTGTTGGAGCATTCACAACTTTTGGAGGCAAGTTGTTCCACTGATTAATTGTTCTAATTGTCAGAAAAATTTTCCTTAGTTTTAAGTTGCATCACTCCTTGATTAGTTTCCACCCATTGCTTCGTCCTCCCCTCAGGTGCTTTGGAGAATAGCTTGACTCCCTCTTCTTTGTGGCAGCCTTTGAGATATTGGAACATTGCTATCATGTTTCATCTACTCTTTTTCATCAAACTAGACATAGTCAGTTCCAGCAACCGTTCTTCATGTTTTAGCCTCATCCCCTAATCATCTTTGTTGCTCTTCTCTGCACTCTTTCTAGAGTCTCCACATCTTTTCTACATCGTGGCGACCAAAACTGAATGCAGTATTCCAAGTGTGGCCTTACCAAGGCATTATAAAGTGGTATTAACACTTCATGTGATCTTGATTCTATCCGTTTATGTAGCCTAGAACTGTGTTGGCTTTTTTGGCAGTTCCTGCACACTGCTGGCTCATATTTAAATGGTTGCCCACTAGGATTCCAAGATCCCTCTCACAGTTTACTGCTACTACTACTACTACACTACTACTACTACTATTGAGCAAGGTACCTCAAATCATGTAGCCCTTTCAGTATGCTTTTACTCCTTTCGTTTTTCTTACTGACTTTTTAAAATTCCATTTAGCTTCTTCTTCTTCAAAGGTTCATTGTGACACTCATCCTCCATTTCTTCTTTCACGTCCCAAATATCCTGAATAGCAGAGCTACCGCCAAAGGAAACCAGCTGTGCTTACACATTTTTCACATCTATGAAGAAAGTTTTGGGGTGAGGGACTTCATCGTGATGTTTTATGGATAGCAGGCCTCTGATCTCATTACGGATGATCGGAGGTAAAATCAATTGCCTCCTGGCAGTATCTTTAGCCTAAGGCACAACTAGGCATTCTTCCAATGTAAACTTTTATTATTATTATTATTATTATTATTATTATTATGTACAATATTAGATTGCAATCATCTTTACAGCATTTACTAGTGCAATGAACAGCACCAACATGGGGCAACATCCACACTATACAGAAGAAACACAGACATACAATGAGTTGTTTAGTGGCATCCTCCCTATCAGACAGGTAGATGAACCAAGAGAGGTATTGACAGGAAGGCAAGGCTTTTAACTGCCCCCTATAGAATCTTGATGCCCCTTGCTGCTAACTAGCCACGGCAAAAGTGATGGCCTCTGGTCAGACAGTTCCAGGCCCAGCAAAGAGGCTACAGCAAGGTTCTTTAGCTTGTTCTGAAGTGGCTGGGAGGGCATGAGCTGAAAGGAAAGAAAACATAACATTAGTTTCCACATATTTGCTTTCTTGTCAAGATCCAAGCAAAGGTTTTGTTTCTGGAGTGGGGGAGCAGTTGGGAATCAGGCCAGTATCACCTTCGGCAAGCCTGTTCACGCTCAGGAACTCACCTTGCTTACTTTGTGACACTTAATTAATCCTTGTGGATTTAAGAAGAAAGTGGAATAGGCATCATAAACTCTGGAAGAGGAATGAAACGAAAATTAGCCAAGCAAGACCATTCTGCCGTCCTCTTAGACAAATACAGAGGTAGAATTGTAATATGTTTTGAGTAATCGGTTTTACTCTGATTTATAGATTTATAGATTTTATTAATATTTGTAGGCCGCCCTTTTCCCTGAGGGGACTCAGGGCGGCTCACATAAAATCGGGGAAGGGGAGATACAGACATTAAGATAAGACATATAATAAAATAATAAACAACATACATTCATCATTCGGGAGGGGAACTATCCTTGTCCCCAGGCCTGACGGGCGAGCCAGTTCTTCAAGGCTGTGCGGAAGGCCTGGACGGTGGCGAGGGTGCGAATCTCTACGGGGAGCTCGTTCCAAAGGGTCGGGGCTACTACTGAGAAGGCCCTCCTCCTCTGTCCTAAACGGCTTGATTAATTTTAATTGCACTTACATCACCGGCCAATAAGTAGAGCAAATCAGCCCATATTAAGGAAGGACCAGCCCTGATGCCAAAAAGGGAATAGTAAATCAATAGAAAAGAATATTTGTAGCTCAGGGTTGAACGGAGGAGTCTCTTGGGCTTGGTTGTTCTCTTGCAGACATTACGCAACTAGGTAACATTATCAGTGTTACTGCATTTGCCCTGAAGATGTTACCTACTAGTTGAGTAATGAAATATCTGTAAGAAAACAACCAAGCTCAGAGAGCACCAAGGAGTCCACAGAGAAAGGACTAGACAGAAGCAAGATTAGGGCATTCTATGCCTACCACATTTTTTGGAGTATAAGACGCTCCGAAGTATAAGATGCACTTAGCTTTTGGGAGGAAAACAAGGGGGGGAAATCTGCCTCTCCCTCTCAGCATTTTGCCTCCTTCAGGGGTGGGTTGCTGCCAGTTTTACTATTGGCTTGCAACCCGTGTGTGTGTGTGTGTGTGTGTGCTTTTCAATGTAAATTGTTCTTCGCACATGCGCAGAACAATTTACAGTGAACTGTGCATGCGCAGTCACTAAAAATCAAAATGGCAGCAGCCCAATGGCAGCGAGGGAACCAGCTCGGTGCATGGCAAACCTGGGGCACTGCTGGTTCTGTGACCCAGGGCTGAATTCAACCGAAATGGGCTGAACCGGGAGCAACCCAACTCTGGCCTTCTTGCAGCAAACAGTACAGAAGATATACACTGTGGTGTTACATTTCAGACTATACTTGCACAGATGCTGTTAAAATT